GAGCTGAAACTACAGAAATTATTTCCTTTGTTTCACATTTTACCTTTTAATTGCCAGTAAGGCACCACAGATACTTGCAGCCCTCTCTAAAACAAACCAGGGTTGGGAGAGAACACCAAGTGAGGTATCCCCTGGAAGATAGATGGTGACAACTGTAACTACCAAGCAGTACACAAAGGCAGGAGACAGGAACAGGGTGTGCTTCTGAGAAAGGAGTTTTCAATCCTCCTCAGACATGCCATTACAAGGTGTAAAATGCTACTAGATGTAATCCCTTTTAAAATAACTTTACCTTAGTATTTGTTTTCATGTAAAACATCACATATATCACAGTGTCACTGATTCACTAAAAATGTTTGACATTAGCTCTAAAAATGCCTTGCTAACTGTTAAAACAATCTATTGATTACTTAATCCTTTCACAAGATTGTACTGCTTTAAAATAATAATAGCAAAAAAAAAAAAAAAAAAGCAAAGATATATGTGAATTTCCAGCACAACAGAGAGATGAGATTATGAATAACCTTGAATTAAGTGGGAAAGCACAGAGACATTAACAAAGACCTGACTACATACTGGCTTCAATGAAATAATAACATCGATGGTCATTCCAGTCTGATGTTTCAATTCAACAGGTCATACATGTAAGGTTATGATTCAGGCAACATATCACCAAAACATATAGGGAGACAAAACCAAGATGTAATCAAATTCAGGATCTAAATGTATGCTAAAGGAAAAATACAGTCTGCTCTCTAATATGGGTACCTAAAAATATTTTATCTCAAATGCCCAGATAGAATTTTACTAAGCCTCATATAGATCGTAATCTTATTTCTCCCAAACTCTCAAATCTGCCAGTTACAGAGGTATTTTAATAAACAGAAATCATTTCCGATTCATACTCTGTAATAAAAAGGCTCATTGCTTTAGATGTGATCGACTCTTTAGATACCATGTTTGGGGGGGGGGGAAAGGATATCAAAGGACTTTTATTGTATGCGTTGGTAAACCTGCGATTTAAAAAACGTTCGGTTTTTATTAAAGTTACAAATAAAAATGCATCCAATTTTGGAAAAGAAGCATCTTCCTA